TTACATAATCATTGAGTCAGATGAGTTTAGGTGGAAGAGGAGGGAAAGAATTAGAAAAAAAAAACAGTCATTACTCTTGGTAGAAAGTCAGCAAACAACTATCTAAACAGAACTTTTAAGTATTTAGTGGAAAGGCCACTAAATATTGCTGGTAGAGCATAAAGCTCCATAATACTTCTCTGCACCTATTTGTATGAGACCAAGAGGTGAGGGGAGACTTTGCAGAGGTCATTTTTGGAGACTAACTGAAAATGAAAATACAGCTAAAGGGCAGAGTCCTTTCCTACCAAAAAGTATAAGCCTTCTCTCCAGCTCCACTTTGTTATATTGTAGTTGACAACTGTCATGATTCCTTGACCACCCAGCATCTTTTGAATAATATATGCTCTACCCAAGGCAGACTTGTTTTCTTAGCTGACTGCTAGGACAGAAGGACATGACCAAGGCCCTACACTCAGACATACTGCCCAGGAATTTGATACCCAACAGAGCAATGTGAAGAATCCTCCTATCACTGCTGTGATAAATCCAGCTTTCAAGGGTGACAAAGGCTCCAGTAACAAATGAGTCTTCACTGCTACAGTTTTAAAGAGTGGTTTGCGCATGTCAGAGTTGGCTGCACCTACGTCCAACTACCTGGTCTTCCCTGGATATCCTATAAAATACTCAACAAGCTTTGAAAAATAAGTATCTTTTCTGCTTATCCCAAAAAGAGTTATGTTGTCTACAACTAAGAACTGAGCTTAACTATGTATAATACTGGTAGAGTACATACTGAAAAGACAAAAGACAATTTCAAACATTTACAATGTTGAAAATGCCAAGGAACTAATATTTTCATTAGCTCTAGAGATTATCTACTCAGAACCTTCAGACTAAGAAGCCAAGTATCTGCGACATGTCTTTTCCTAGAACATCTGACCYATTCCAGATCAAAGTTAAACCTGATCAAAGTTAAACCCATTCCAGATCAAAGTAAAACTCTGTTAAAATAGGTCTTGATTTCAAGTACATTATTATACTTGAATCACCAAAAGTGGTAAAATCAAATACACTTGAATCTTACTATATTGGTTAGCTGAAATCCTTTGGAGATTTTATGGATGATCTAAATTTGTCTAAGGCATTTATTCTAGGCTCCAATGCTTGCTTTTAAGCTCAAAGTGAAATCAAATTCATTGCCTACTGTGAAAGGATTATTAAGGGGTAATGTCATTTCCTTTACTCCTTTTCCTATTCTTGGTTAGGAAAAGCAGCAAAATATGCATATTTATCCTGGAGTTTCATGGTAAAGAAGTACTACAGATGGTGAGTTTTACTGCTTAATGAATGCATTATTCTAGAAAGTAGAACTGAGTAAAAGGCTTTCATGTCCAGTGGTCCAAAAAGTGTGGCTCTTGTGGACAGCATTGACACTATTGGGGCACTTGGAAATAGATTCTCAGGCCCCAGCCAAACTACTGATTAGAAATTCTTCAGACGGGACCCAGAATGTTGTTTTATAAAGTTTTCCCTTAATTCTAATGTATAGTGAAGTTTGAGGACCACTTTCTTTGACAGAAAATCAAAACTACTACAAACAAAGAATCAACTTTGGAGAAGCTAACAGCAAGATATACCCACTTAATAACATATTTCAGAGCACTAAAGGAGTTTTTCCCTAAAATTAAACTTTGTGTGTGGCCTGACCTTATTTCTTCTACTAAGGAAATATGGGTCTCTTGCTCACTAAAATCCCAGGCATAACTTCCTGGGAGGGTGGGTCAGATATTAAGTAATTTCTAACCTCCTGAGGCTAAATAATCCCAGTTTCTTTTTTCGTTAATCACCTTTTAAAACTCAACATCCTTATCTACTTCCAGAATAAAATATACTTTTTTTTTTAAATAAACTGAAAACATTCCCTGTGATTAATGCCACAAAACCTAGGTTTCTAATATTCTCTCCATATTTTATAATACAAGTTGTACTTCTTAAATAAAAAACAAATTTTCCGTCTGTCCTTTCTAGATCTTCTGATTCCTTCTTCTCATTGCTGGTTTTCCTCCCCCCCCCACCTTAAAAAGTTTTAGTTCATTATAAGGTCACTGAGTATTTCACCATATATTGGATTGAACATTCTGATCCTCCTTTGCCCTATTAAATAAGAATTGACCAGATGGATATTCCTCTACTCTCTCTCCTGAGCAGGTTTTAGTTAATTAAAAATGATTATTTTTACTACATATTTTATATATCAGCCAGATGTTACCTGTGGTCATTTCTGGAAAGGATCACTTGGTGGTGGTTATAAAACACATATTTTCCCTTGGGAGATAAGACTCCTGAGCACCATCAGGAAAATAAATGTAGAAATTGATTTCACCTCATACATTTTTCCTAGTGCCCAAAATAGGCAAAATATTTCATACTCTTTAAGGTAAGATCTATTCAAATTCTTCCTTATTCTTTACATCTCTGCACACTGACCCTGTTGTTTTGTCAAAAAAAAATTGTCAGGTTGATGCAAGAAAAATCAGTGTTGGCCTCCCTCTGCACTGTAAAAGTAAGCTGATTTTCCTAAAGAACCTGATTTGGTTTCTCTAAGGTATCTCTGTATAACACAGCAAAGTGTTCTGCTTGATAAGGACAGGGACCGTGCCATGCTACTGTGTGGACACACTGACATATGTGACAGTTCTCACTTTTGCATAGGTCTCCTTCGAAGCTGTTTCACATGTGCACTAGCTCATCTGATATTCTCATTCATGTTGAAATACTTCAGAATGAGAAAAGGAATATGTCATTTAAAAATTGTCCTGTGATTACACAAGTCATTTTTTCCCTGTGTATATACAAATGAGAATCCAAACGAGTCTCCCTTTTTTTCCCTCAACTAAAAACTCAACTTTAAAAAAAGAAATACAGAATGAGAGACCACCCCAAACTACAAAATTCTAATGGATGAAATCAACCACATTATAACTTGGGTAAGGGTGACACAATTGATCTTCTCATTCCTAGAGGCAAAAGTAGGTCTCAGACTGAATTTCACATGCTAACAAAAGAATATACGGCATGTTATAAAAAAACAAGCAAGAAATTTTCAATTGCAAAGATCTGGCTATGTCTTGTAAAATATTTCAGCCTGTGGTGGGGATATGGGTTCTAGCCTCAGCTCTGAACTTCTATAGGACCTGATCTAAATGACTTCTTGACTGAGTTTCTCTACCCATGTAAAAAAATGGCAGGGTTGAACTAGATATTCTCTACAGTCATTTAAGGCCCCAAATTATGTGATTGATTTAAAAAACAACTTTAGGACCTAATATGTTTTATTGAACAATTCCATCAATGGGAAGGTTGCTTGCATTAACTTAGAATCTGTAAATACAGAACACAGCAATTTATTTTCTGATTGCATAAAGCATCTGCTACCAATGTTCTGAAGTACACAAATCTGCTTGTAGTAAATCACAGTCACCTCAAAAATGACCTCTTCCTCTTATGTTTTCATAGCAATCAACATTAAATATGGTGTTCCCATTAAAGTCATCTGTGCTACATCTGATTTCAAGAGCCAGGTAAGAAGGGGCAGACATTCCTGATGAAGAGCCCCACAGTCCTTGGAATAAATTGTCCCTCAAAATGTAACATTACTTACCATTACAGGCCACGCTCATCAGCCTCTAATAGGTTTGAGGGATTCACCAGTCTTAATTTCCTACGTGCATCTATAATTGTCCGCAGAGGTCAATTTCAGTGGATGCCTCATATAAATTAAAATTGAAGATAATGATGCCTGTTCACTTGATCAACTAAAATGACCAGCTGGGTTTAATGGGAGGAAAAGAGAAACCCCAGTGAAATTAGAATAGCTTCAAAGGTGATAGAATGTAATTATTTTTCTGTAATGTTTCTTCTCCAAAGGTGACTGGCCATTGCACTGGTGGGCACCTGGGCCAGCATATTATGAAGCTGGAGATGGCATTCAGAGCCACAGACCATGTCCAAAGGCACAAGTCAAGAGTCAGCATTCTGCTAAGGCACTGGAGGAAAGCAGGATTTCTTTTCCATTCTTATTTTAGTCATTTCCTTTCCAGTTAGAGAGGTGCTTTGAGGGACTTGCTTAATTGACTCCCAAGAGGCAAATTCTAATTTAGATTGGTACAAAGTGTTTTCTCTTTCTATCCACAAAATGTTTTCTTGAATTTGTTCTAATTATCCTTAGGGTGGTATAATTTTAGGTCTGATATCACAGCCCTAAACCCTTGATTTTACAGATGAAGAAGCAGAGGTGAAAAGATGTGAACAGACTGGACCAAAGTCCCAAAGCAAGACAGGCAGGGGTTGTGCTGGAACCTGGCAGATGAGAGGAGACCAAAGCTGACTCCCAGTCTGGGATTTTTGCTTAAGAGTAACTGGAACATTATTTAGAGAAGGAAAAAGACTTGATGAAAAATCACCATTTAAGGAACTTGGGTTCTATAATGTGGTAGAGATGCTAGCAAGCAACAAAGCTGGAAATGGGAGGAAGGGAGAGACAGAGGGTAATGCAGCCAGTGAAGCGTGAGGCAGATCACCACTCTCTGGAGCTGATGGTGGGCTCGGTTCCTGTGCATCCAGCCGTACAATGGTCACACATGGAGGTGACTGCACAGACTAGCAGCCCGCATGCGTACCTGGGCTCGATATCTTGACTCTGCTAACTCTTAGCAACTTTCAGCAGGTTGCTTAAGTCCTGATCTCAGTTCCTTATCTGCCTAAAAGGATGATAACATCAGTACTTACTACTGAAAGGATTAAAAATTTTTACTGTACTTAGCATTATGATTAAATGAGGATTAAATAAATTGATATAGGTAAAGAGCTTAGTACACAGTAGGTGCTATGTTAGCGTTTGCCGCTTTCTGAACCTCATTCACTATACCAGAAAACCTTAAGAGTTACATTCATTCACAATATACTAAGGTGCTTTATCTGATACATATATTCAAGGATAGAGAGATTCAGAAAGTTGTTGATGAAACCTTTTTATATGTTGAATGGATTAATTTTTCAATACATAGTGCAGTAATTTAAACTGGTTTAAAAAAAAAGAAACAACTACAGGGACTTTTTATTTTTAAAAATTCAATGATATTCATAATTCCATAAAACAGTATCAGAAATTTCATTAGTAAAACAGTTAATAAAAGAGCACATCCATTGCAAAAACTGAAGACGGGTTTTCGTGGCGGGAAGTTAGTGCTGAATCAGTAGTCACTCCTGGAGTCTTTACAGCAGCAGCTCAGGGATGTTGCTTTTTTTTCCTTTTCTTTTTTCTGGAGCACATGTGGACAGTTTAACCCCCCCCCCCTTTAGAATTTGATGCTGTCCAAGCTATCATAAACATTTTACTCAGAGTTTTTAGGGTAAAACCTTCACAAAATTAATAGTGTAGATCATCTGGCAATTAAGACCATTTCAGACATGCCTGAAATGAGTACCACATGTGGATTAGTTTGCTTTTTCATTTGTCCTCTAAGATCAGTGGACATTTTAAGGGAAAAAAGTTAGTTACCTATTTCCCTGTTTTTCAATTACATAATTTTAGCAATTAGGCAGAATAAAAATTTAAACATTGTTGCAAATAACTTTTCTGGGTCAGGTCGCCAATTTAAGACATTGGGAGATCATGATATGCCGCATATCTGCCAGTCACATGATGGTAAATCTGTGAAGAAAATCAGAGTTCAGTTCATTAGTAATCATTATATAATTATAACTACATAATAATTATACTATCACATAATGAATACATTTCAGCAGACTCCGCCCAACCTACTTCAGATGGAGGTCTGCTTGGAGGAAGGTAGCGGTTTGGATATGATGAGGTAAATCAGATAAGTATTCATCTCTAGTCCTCAGTTTCTCAAAAGCACTTGCAAATTCATTCCAAGGACAATGCATTACTGCTCACCTGTCTCTCAATGTCTGTAAGCAGGGAACTGGCACCTATGCGGAAGAGTTCTGGCTTCAGCCACTCATCCCCTAGCTCCTCCTTTATAAGAGAGAGCCAAGCAAGGGAGTCTTTGGCAGTGCGAATACCTCCTGCTGGCTTAAAGCCCACCTAAAAGGGAAGATGACTGTTGTTACTGGGTGGATTTAAAAGATGGTATTGGGTTTATAGAAATCTTGATATTCTCTCTCTCACTTTAGTTCTTTTTACTTCATCCAGAAAAAAAAAAAAAAAAAAACATGCATCACTTACTCACACCCACTCACCTACAAAGAAATTTCCAAAATTATATCAGGAGGAATGCCCCAGCTTCTACGGAGACACAAATAAGGGCTAATAACCCTCCTTAGCATTTCACTTCTTGGAAAGTCATAAACCTTAACCACCTAGATTATAGCTGAGCTTGGAAGAGAAAAGAAAGGTGTCAATAAACAGGATAACCTACCACAAAAGCCCATTCATTCCCTATTTCTTTTTTTAAATTTTTTCTTTTTAGACATATATGACAGTAGAGTGTATTTTTACATATTTTACATACATGGGGTAAAACCTATTACAATTTTGATCCCATTCCTGTGGCTGACATGATGTGGAGTTACACTGGTCATGTATTCATATATGAGCATAGGAAAGTTACGTCTGATTCATTCTACTGCCTTTCTATTCCCATCCTCCCTCCCTTCCCTTCATTCCCTTTTGTCTAATCCAATGAATTTCTATTCTTCTCCTTCCAACCCTCCCTTGTTATGGGTTAGCATCCACATATCAGAGAGGACATTTGGCTTTTGTTTTTTTGGGACTGGCTTATTTCACTTAGCATGATATTCTCCAGTTCTATCCATTTATTGGCAAATGCCATAATTTCATTCTTATTGTGGCTTAATAATATTCCAGTGTGTATATATACCTCATGTTCTTTATCCATTCATCTGTTGAAGGGCATCTAGGTTGGTTCCATAGCTTAGCTATTGTGAATTGAGCTGCTATAAACATTCATGTGGCTGCAGCACTGCAGTATGCTGATTTTAGGTCCTCTGGGTATAGATCACGAGTGGGATAGATGGGTCAAATGGTGGTTCCATTCCAAAATTATATCAGGAGGAATGCCCCAGCTTCTAAGGACTCTCTATACTGCTTTCAAAAGTGGTTGCACGGATTTGCAGTCTCACCAGCAATGTAGGAGTGAAGCTTTTCCCCTACATCCTCGCCAACATTTATTGTTATTTACCTATATTCTTGATAGCTGCCACTCTGACTGGAGTGAGATGAAATCTTAGAGTAGTTTTGGTTTGCATTTCTCTAATTGCTAGAGATGTTGAACATTTTTTTCATATATTTGTTGACAGATCATATTTCTTGTTCTGTGAAGTGCCTGTTCAGTTCCTTTGCCCATTTATTGATTGGGTTATTTGGGGGTTTGTTTTATTTGTGGTGGTGGTGTTAAGTTTTTTTAGKTCATTGTATATCCTGGAGATTAATGCTCTAACGTGCAGGTAGCAAAGATTTTCTCCCATTCTGTATTCTCTCTGTTCATTCCTTGTTTCCTTTGCTGTGAAAATGCTTTTTAATTTGATGCCATCTCATTTATTGATTCTTGATTGTGCAAAAGCCCAAGAAGACTCCTAAAGGAGTCTTACTAAGGAAATCTGTTCCTGAGCTGATATGATGGAGAGTTGGGCCTACTTTTGCTTCTAGGAGGCAGAGAGTCTCTGGTCTAATACCAAGGTCCTTGTCCACTTTGAGTTTTGTACAGGATGAGATATAGGGGTTCAATTTTATGCGGATTTCTAATTTTCCCAAAACCATTTGTTGAAGAGGCTATCTTTTCTCCAATGCATGTTTATGGCACCTTTGTCTAGTATAACTATGTTTATGTGGGTATGTCTCTGTGTCTTTTATTATGTTCCATTGGTCTTCAATTCTATTTTTGTGCCAATATCATGCCATTTGTCACTACAGCTCTGTAGTATAATTTAAGACATGGTATAGTGATGCCTCCTGTATTACTTTTCTTGCTAATGATTGCTTTGGCTATTCTGAGCCTCTTATTTTTCCAAATGAATTTCATGACTGCGTTTTCTATTTCTATGAAGAAGGTCATTGGAATCTTAATGGGAATTGCATTAAATCTGTTTAATGCATTTGGTAGTATGGCCATTTTGACAATGTTAATTCTGCCTATTCAATAACACGGGAGATCTTTCTACCGTCTACGGTCTTCTTCAATTTCTTTCTTCAGTGTGTTCTGTAGTCTTCATTGTAGAGGTTTTTAACCCCTTTTGTTAGATTGATTCCCAAGTACTTTTTTTTTTTAGGCTGTTGTGAATGGGATAGTTTTCCTGATTTCTCTTTCAGCTGATTTGTTATTGGTATATAGGAATGCAATTGATTTATGGGTGTTAATTTAAACAAGACTTCACAAGGTTCAAAAGCAGATGTGTACTTAAAAAAAAAAAAAAAAAAAAAAAAAAGGACAGAATCAGTGAGGCCACATGGTCACCCTAACCAAATAGGCAGATTCCAAGGAGAAGAACTGACAGTTGTTTTAATCAACTTAATTGCAGGGACTTTTTCTCGGAAGTGGTAGGTACACAGAGTTCTATCATCCAGAAAGACCAATTACACAAGGACAAAAGAAAGGCAGTGTAGGGGATCTTCATATTTCATAAATTTTTAAGGACTGACTATAAAACAGCCCAATTCAACCCAAACTGTTGTTTATAAATAATGTTCCATATCCATTAGGAAATGAAAAATATGCTCCACATACAGTAAGAGCCTCATCATCTTGGTTTACTTTGTCCAGGAGCTTGAACATCCAGCAGAGTAGAGAATCTACAGATGGAGTCAAACAATCAAACAATACCCCTGATAGCCTAGACATAAAATTCTTGCATTTTAACACTCAGAGGTGTTCTTTGAAAGGCAGCACCAGCAGGAAATAATTGCTAACAGAATGTTGAAGAAGAGAGACAATAAACAAATGGTCCTATCATCAACCCAAGCAGGAAACATGGTGAACCTGAACTCCATCCCTGACTAGGAAATATCTACTCAACAGACAAGTCCTGCCAATCCTACTTACATAACTTCTGGTCATGCACACCTTCCTCTGTGTACATTTCAGACTAGACCCTCATCAGTCCTCATATGGAATATTAGTCAGTCTCTTCCCTGGTTTCCCTACCTCTGCCATACAACCTCAAACAGCAGCATTTCTAACCAAATTTGCTGTTACTCCCCTGCCCAAGCCAGGACTTGGTAAGGCAGAGGGGTGGGGGCTGCAGGATGAGGTTATTTGTTGAGGAAAGGAGAAAAAAATCAATTAGCTGATATTAGCATACATGTTAATCACAGGGGTCTTTCTGTCAATTAGGCAGTATTTCATACAGATTTTCTATATAGTTCAATTTGTGTCAGCAAGTCTGTTTGGCAATGTTTCCAAAGGAAGGTTCTTATATAAGTTAATCTTTTTTTTTGAGGGAGAGAATATGGAAAACATAAATCTGTAATGAAATCAGTTATGAAATATTAAACCTCTGCTTCTCAGGAGTGACACTAATCATGGTCTGGAAGGTGGCTGATGACATTGTAAAACACCGCTTAAATCAATGAAGTAGAAACTTTACCATCTAAGGGCTGCTAGTGCAACTTGTCAGCAACCCAAAAGCTGTACCATGATTTGCAAACACATACACAGATCCTCCTTGTTTGAAGTCAAACATGATTAATGAGAATGGTTTGACTTGTACCTGTGTCCTTTTCTTAAAACCAGCTGGACTTAGTTTATTAAACTGAGGGGGAAATGCAATGCAATTAAGAGAGGATTGAAATAGCAAAATGTCCCCCGCTCTGAAACCTGGTCTAGAACACTGAGGACTTAAAAACTTTTATTTGAAATATTCTGCATGTTGGTTAAGAGCTTTTCTGGGAAGAAACGTGTTCATTTTTGCATTCCAAGATAGGTTAACATGGCACATGGTTAACTACTCAATAGCTGCTCACCGAGAGCAAAACAGAATTGGGTTCTAAATGCCATGTTTAAACCCTGACAATGGAGTTTATGAAATGCATATGCCTGAAGAATACCCCAGAATATCCAGGGATGGCAGTCCAGGCATCAATATGCATAAAAAAAAATCTCACATTTGATTTTGTGTATGGTGGAGGGCGGGGTGGGGGGTGAGCTGGGGATTGAACCCAGGGCCTTGTGCATGCGAGGCAAGCACTCTACTAACTGAGCTATATCCCCAGCTCTTCACATTTGATTTTGATGTTCTTTGGCTGAAACTGAGAACTACTGGTCTAATGAGTAGTGGTAGTTTCTACTGAGGGACCAAAGACAGATTTTTCATTTTTATAGCTT